GGAAATCGGCCCTAATAAACCCTTGATGATCGTTCCAGACCTGCCGGATGAAGTTCTTTAACTCCCCGAAAAAGTGCTCGATGGGAATAATGTCTGGCGAATAAGGCGCCGAGTACACCAGCACCACTCCTGCTGCACTGCACATTTCCCGTATGCGCTCGGTGTGATGGAAGGATGCATTGTCCATGATCAAAACAGACCGCGGCTCGGGCCAACGGCCACAATACTGCAGCAGCGTTTCAATGAAACTCTCGAACACTTTGGCATCCGTTGATCCCTCGAAGACACGGAAGTGTATCACTCCGTCCTGGGTATAGGCCGGCAGGATCTGGTATCTCCGACCGCGGTGGAATCGCTTGATCTGCCGTGGTCGTTTCCCTCCAGGAGCCCAGCCTTTGCGCCGTATGCCGATGCTCTTGTCTATGCCGGACTCGTCTACGAAGACCAGCTGGTCGGATCGGTACTGGGATATCTGGTACATGTATTCGTCTCGCAGGTCGAGGTTACGCTCCTGAGCGACATTTTGTGTGGTTTTTTGGGACCAATTGTCGTCCTTCAGCATCCTACTGATGCTGAAGCGGGACACGTCGGCATCATAATGTTCGCGAAGGGAAGCAGCCATCTTATCAAGGGTCAGGCATGGATCAAGGGCAAGTTGGCTCCGCAGCGCGCTCAGCATAGGAGGAGTGATGGATCTGGGGCGGCCGCGAGTATTTGTTGGGATCTTCGCAGACCCAAACAAAAGCAGCTTCGAGCGAATTCGTCGTACCGTCCGTGGATTACATCCGACTAACTTGGCTATGCTGTCATCAGTGGCAGTTGTTTCACCTAATAGCTTACTGTGGATGAAATTTCTGAGCAGGTCGTGCGTCGAACAAGCAAGGAACGGCGCCATAATCGAGAAGCCCTTTGCTGGTTCTGCCCAATTTGCTGGTGTTGCTGATGGAAAAGGTGAAGGTACATTTTGGGCGTTGCGATTATGACTCACAATTGAGGCCACGGTGTTCATCGGTTCCCAGCATAATCCATTTCCGGCGTAATCACCATGTACCCATGGCAGTACCATGTGTGAGATTAGGGATTTTCACACTGTAAATAACATGTCTGTGCGCTAAGTGAATCAAAAGAGTTTACTTCAACCGGACATTATTTTTGCACATAGCTGTAACCAATGCAAACACATCTTCCTCTTTAGATGCGAATACCTTCTCTTTTGAATCAGAGTGGAGCCTGTGAAGTACTCAGATTTACCTAGCATGGTCGACAAAAATCCAGAAATGGCTCTGAAGTAAGCTGCAATTGGCAGTGATTACTTAGCGCTGGAGGTACTCAAAAGTATATAACAAATACCTAATCCTATTATATAATGATAGTGCAGGGGACAGGCCTGAATACTTGAAAGAAACTGCTTTTTCCTAGTTATGTCGCCGCCGGATTGCTGTATATAGTGCTTAGAAATGGCTGCACCATACTGTATGGATTAAAGTTAGATAATAAAAGAGTAGTTTAAAAGAGGAAGGAATATTTGCATATAGCTATATAACTAAGGAATCCAGTTGGGAAGTCTAGTGGGAGCAGTAGCGCAAGTCGTGCGGCAGGCAACCGCTGGGATACTATTAGTTTGTCTTTCTACGACACAGCGAAGCACATTGGCAGCACCAAATCGATAAAAGGGTTTTTTTCCGGCGCAGAACAAACGTAAAGCCTTTCACATTAAAAACAATGTTGAATGGCCTATAGCCATATGGCAGTTTACGGTGCGTTGCAACGTAGGTGGTTAACCAAAGGTATTATCTGTAAATTCCGTGATGATTCTTTTAAGTTCTATTAAAGGGGTGAAACGACAGCTGTCCCGATCGTACGTGAATAGTTGTGAGACACCTAGAGGTTACCCCTTGCATAAGATAACTGTTACGGCCCAACCAGTTGGTAGCTGGCCGGCGTAGCTATAGAGTGCAGAACAGGGGATAACGATGCGAGAGTCATCATTGCCGAAGCTTTTGCTTCGTGCCACAGTTGGTTGCCCTGACCTGCTCGTAACAATAACCCAGCCTCGCGGCTTAGTCACCCTAGTCGTACGGTCATGTCAGAGTGTTATTCCAACAAACGGAGATAATATAAGATGATCAGTAGAATAGTTCACCCGCGCACACCGCGATATGTTTTAATATTCCATAAGCTAAGGAAAGCCTTATTTTACTCCTAAGATAATTAATTTATGATTTGCACTAGAACCAGCCTCCAGGATTGTGTGATTTCTCCTTCCGAATCTTTTTCGAATCAACAACCTCAAAGTCATACCCCTCTCGACCCCTTCTAACAGGAGTCAGGAGTACGTCAACGTCGGACCTCATCAACGGCAAGACTTGTACATGGCCAGTCTGTCTCTCTATGGTACTGTTGAGATCGGATTTTGACGGATTACCATGACACATGCTCTTCTCCGCCGCCAAAGAGTTTATCTCATCAATGACAACCTTCAATCGGCTGACAGTGTCGGTAAGCTGTGCTACCGCTTCGTCGACATTGGCTATAAAGGTGGACCCTTTCACGGCGACACCTTTCCAATAGTCAAGTTCATGTCTAAGGCGGCCGGAGTCTCTCACAAGTTCTTCCAGACGCTTCTCCTTACTAACCGGTGCTTTTTGGGATTGTATGGTGGCGTCTGTGAGGTCGAGCGCATGGGTCGTTCCACCCAAAGCCACGACCTCATTGTCTATGTCAGTTGGTTGGCGCGGCCAACCGGCTGACTGGCGAGGCCGTTTCAAAGGTCTAGCTTCTGTGCCTCTATGCATTATGGATGGTGTTAACTAGTATCAAGATGCAAAAAGGGGTAAAAATCATTTTATAGAATACATGGAGCATAATGTGCATTGGGTTTTTGATTATAGAGGGAAAAGAAATAGCCAGAAAGTGATCACAAACGCTACTTACGAAGCTGAATCAGGAGTCAACCAAGGGGATCAGGCTGCTATTATCACTGTCTTTTCTACGCGCGCCGCTCTTCGGGCTTATGAGCCCCCATGTCGGAAGAACCTATCCAGTCGCGGGAACGGAATGCGTCATGGACATTTATGTACTATATCCACGCCTCAGCTCGCGGTTGTGTCCAAGCTCTTTATGACTAACGCATAAACTGCTATCGCATTGGACTTTTCGGCTAAATATGTCTTCATTGCGCAGGAAATCCAGTTTTGGTCGGACGGTGTTGGACAGTCGTGGAGGATCTCGGACATCGAACATCGGTCTGCCTGCATGCTCGAAGGCAAAAAGATGATTTCGTCTCAATAAAACCACAGTTCCAGCCATGTTGCACACAATATAAAAGTCGTTACTGACCTGACGTGAGCAGAGACTTGCAAGTAGCCATAGACGTGCTTATAAAGAATATGGACTCCATGTGGTAAGCCGCCACACGCGCATTAACTCTTTACGATAGATCGACGTACTAACTAAGCCAAGGACTGATCTACTCAGACAAGACGAGCGGTGCTGCTTGGCTATCTGCCTAGCTGTCAACTGTCCCCACAACGGACTGACTGACGATACGTGGTACCCTCCGTTTGACAAAGTTAAGGAGGACATCAATAGCTCCTCGGGAGACCGGTTCCTCGCCTATGTCATAAGCTGTCTGTGTGGGCCACTCCAGGGCAAAGAGTTCGTCGTCAAGGTAGCCGCGCTTCTGGCGTGCCTGAAGCTCCGCGACGCGAACGACCAACCAGATGATGGCCCTCCCGACAACAGAATTAACCTGCTGTTCGAGTTTGACAAGGCTTTAAACTTTGACTTTGGCAACATTCCAGTCATTATCAAGGTGCTGGAGCAAGTTTTGATATTCTCGGCGCGGATATTAGAGATCCATTCGCCGGAAGACACGACCCATCCGGGTTTGCTGCCCGCGACTCTCAATCTCTGCGACGACTCCGTATCGAGGAAGATGCTTTATATGTACTGCTGCGTACGGATCTTGTTTCCCGACACCCATGAGTCGTCGATGCACCGGACAAGGGCTGTCTTTCAGTTGAACACCACAGACGCGTCTGAGCTGTTTATCGACACGCTTAGCGACGAAGAGCTGGAGTCGCCAGGCCATTCTACGTGTAGCATGGATGAAGAGTTGTCCATCGATGAGTGTGTCAGCACGTCTGATGGCGATTCTAGCTTCTTTGAGGGCTCAGATATGTCAGAGGACAGCGCTAAGTCCGACACAGACGAAGATGATGAGGACGTAGACTAGTCAAGCAGTCAGTTCTGCGGGCATATTGAGTTTTGCTGCGCGCCCTTGAGTGGTACTGTACCGCGTGTATTACTCTTTCTTAAATAAATAAAGCATTGCTTCCTAAATAATCTCGGGCCCCTTCGCTTAGTGGTCTGGTGTCTAGTGATGTTGAGCAAGCCAGCCAAGGCCAAGGTCTTTCAAGCCTCCCGGAAATCCCCGGTGCCATTATGACAAGGTAAGTGTACGCAAAAGGGTAACTCGACTTAGAAAAGCGGGGAATGTGAGCGTTCTCCTACAGGACCACAACAGCTTGTATCACAGTACAAAAATGAGATGGTAGTTTGCTGGTCACTTTGCAACATACTGAGCATAACTGTTGCTAACTTTGGCTTTCAGGAACTTTGAGGCAGTTCCGAGCCTTGCCTCTCGAGTTCAGCTGTATTTGCCCAGCATCGAATTAGCCTTCGCCGCCATTACAAAATATGTGCCTAACAAGCCGATACGAAAGACAAGATACTGATAGGTAGGCTTGCCGGCGCCGCAAGTGGCTTCAATCTTACACAGATACTTACTATTCCCCCCTCTGTCGAAATTGTAGAAAGCAAGTTTCGCCTGTTACGGGCGACGCCAAATACGATGCCATACTCCCATCGCAGCATGGCATATAATCCATTCATCACCATCGTCTTGTGTACGCTGAGGCGTCGTCGCCAATATACAATATGCTGCTTCCGTCAATTGTGAGACCTCGTCCGCCGCATCCTTGCGCTTTCTTGTCAGTATGCTCTTCACGTTGTCTCGCCGGTCGCTAGCTCTCGTGCTCCTTGTACTGCAGCTGGCTGTTGCAGTTGTGAAGGCAACATCAGCTGTCGAGATTCTCTCTCAGGTTCCGTCCTGTGCTGTAAGTCCTGGCGCCGTCATAGATCCCCTTCATGCTGACAAGTCATCCATCTAGTTCGAATGTATTAGCAGCACATTTCTCATGTCTGCCTGCGACCCAGAAGACGTGACTACGTGTATCTGTCCTAGCATCCCCATACAAGCGGAATTATCGGCATGTGTGCAAACACACTGTCGCTTTGACGATCAGCTGAGTTGGCTTAGCCGTTTCCGTTTCCATTCACGGTGCCGTTCTGACCTTATACAGCTGCCGCGGCGGTTGAGGGAGTCTTATGCGAAGCGTACCCCAAGGAATCGCGGAGAGCGGAAGTCCGACGTACGCTCATCATCAGCTGCAGTCTCGTTTTTCTCATTGTAGCACTTCGCCTTTTTACGCGGATGAAGTATGCTGGCGGCCTGTGGCCGGACGACTATATGACTATCTTCGCGGCAGTAATCGGCTCCGACACCCCAGGTAAACTCTTCTGACGCTGCCAAACAGGTCCTTCTCATTACCCTGACTGCAGTTTACTTGCATATTACAAGCCTTGGTTTCGGTATGCACTATTGGACGATCCCCGTCGGAAACGGCATTGTCATCCGCAAGGTTCGGGAATCCGGGCTCTCCGGCTGATCATAATGTCTTTTCGCCCTCTAACATCGGGTCAGATGCTTTACGTCGGCAATTTAGTCTACACCGTCCTACAAGCTGCTGTGAAACTGTCGATCGTGCTTTTCCTCAGCCGCATCTTCCCATCGCAAACCTTTCAGCGGATCGCTCAGGGCATCGAGATCATACTCGTGCTTCACGGCACGATTTTCACCATCCCATTTGCGGTGCAGTGCACACCGGTACAATCGATCTGGGATCGGACCATCACCGACCGTCGCTGTCTAAACTTACAGGCGGTAGGATACAGCAGCGGCGGACTCGCCATGGCGGAAGATATTGCCATCTTACTCCTGCCGATCCCCCACGTTTGGCAGCTGAAGATTTCTCTCCGGCGGCGCCTCGCAGTTATCGCCCTCTTCAGCGTCGGTTCCTTGTGAGTCAAATACCGGCCTCCGGAAAGAAGCGAAGGACGAGAAGACTGACACAGCAGGCAGCGCTTGCGTGACATCAGCCATCCGTGTTAAGTATCTGGTAGAGTATAGCACAACATTCGATGAGACGTGGGACCATGTCGATGTTGTGGTGTGGTCGTTCATCGAGCAGTCCATGGCGATGCTATGTGCGAGCTTACCCACTCTGCGTTTACTACTTGTCAATATCGCGTTTCGACGTCGTCCCGCGTCATCGGAAAGCTTTTTCGATAAAGACAGTCCGAAACAAGCCTGGCATTGGTCTTTCGACAGACTGAGACAATGCCGCATGCGAACACAAAAAGAAATAGATCCCGCACCTCCACAAACAGGTGAGGGGGTTTTGGTGACGACGACGGTGGAGGTCGACCGGCAGTCCTACAGGGCCATAGACGTGCCGCCCTTTCCACCGCCTGCCTACTATGGGCCGAGGATTAACGGATGAGAAGAAAGTCTGGGGGGGTATGGCATTCTTCAACAAGGGGGTGTTAGTAACGTCTGGATCTCAACCATTGACCCGGATAAAGCGTCGAAGAGGGGATTGAGCAGATAGAAAGCTCGTAACAACGAGGCGTTAGCACAGCCGGGTTCGAGATTAGTCTCCATGGCCTTCAATAGCACACAAGTATTGGTGGATCCACTTGCTGGAGTGACAAAAAACGGGACATTGCAGCTTCACAAATGCCGCTGCGGTGCTTGCCTTGCCGCATGACCTGATGGCAGACCTGATGACAAAGGTATCCCCTGAACTTCCAGTGACCGAATTACAAACAGGTCAGGGCGACCAACTATGTCACAAAACAAAAGCTTCGGTAATGACAGATCTGTTGTAGTTTACCCCTATTCTGCACAGCTACGCCGGTTAATAGCCTAACTGGTTGGGCCGTAACTTATGACAAGTCTATACCGTGAATGAGATTTCCAGCTTTAGCCTCTTTAAACTCGCCTACGGCGTTTTCCACAGTTTGACGTCCTTAACGGAATGTGAGCACTGGGTAACACCGCAAGTTGCAGCCTACATGTTTACGCCTAATGACTTACCCCTTGCACAGCCGGAGCAGATAATCTTAGTGACATAGTACGAGTACGCCTATCAACTCACTTAAGCTGCTAGGTCTATGGTTTTTGATTAAAGTGGGTTTAAAGAATATCACGCAACCGCAGAAACAATGACAAAGTTCCAAGCTTAAGGCTATATAAATCCATGGTCAGAGCCTTGGAAAATATTCTTTTCCGTACTTTCTATTTTATACGCCCACCAAAATTTAATACTCTTTCGTTCCGAGTCTTAATACTGCAATGCCTAGTCCGTCTTCGAATCTGTTTGGCCATGAAAACATATCCGAGAATCAGGTTGATACAACAAGCGCCCCGGACTTCACGCCCGCCACCACGGCCACGATCATGTGCGGTGATAACTCCTACAATGGTATAGGCACACCGAGCCCTACCAGCCACTATACCGGTATTTCTACCATTAGCAACCCAGCGGACAATGGTTTTCAGGACACGACGGCGAGCAGCCTAGCCTTGCCCGACCCCACAATCATTCTGTACCAAATTCAGAAGGCTGCCGAAGACGTGTCTCAGCTCGTTGGGCGATTTGGAGATAAGATGGCGAAGGTGGTGCAGAGATCCTCCATCAAAATGGCGCTCTTCACGAACCGCAAGTCGCTCCGGCTACCGTGCCTACAGTACGCCGACTATCTTACCTGTCGGGTCACAAAACTCAATTCCAAGCAACCGATCGACCACACGGATGCGGCCCCTCTGCTATGGTGGCTCTGGGATGACTTACTCGACTACATAGGAACGTCAGTCACCTCGAAGGACTGCCACCTCAAGTTCACGCCCGCTCGTGAGACTAACATCGACACGTCCTACACGATCAGTATCAACCTCTCATCCAAAAACGGCAACAAGATCATCGAGCTTACTGCGTCCTATGGCGGGCCATTCCACGAGCGGCGCATCTTTGACGCAACTACCGCCTGCTTTCGTTTTCCCCCAAAGGAAAGGTACGGCAAGCCACTCTCGGCCACCCTGGACGTCGACAAACACCCGTATACTGAAAAAGGCTGTTGCGCTCACACCTTCGATTACCTCATGCCTCGTCCGGAGAGCATGTGGCGCCACGCCATGGAGAACTTCCCTCTAGACGGAGAGGAGGCCCTAGTCGTTGCTCTCATCGGGACTTTCAAGGCTAATAGCAACTACTACATGTCGAATAACGAAGTCAAGAAGTGGTTGAACCTGTTTCAGCGCTTTCCGGCCGAAGCCAGGGCCTATGTCGACGATCAGAAACTTGTGGGAAAGTAGAACGGACGGTGCAGCAGCATGGCTAATCAATCTCATGGCCTTCAGGGTTAAAGTGTAGACAAACCTCTGTCTTCTTATCTCAAATTCAAGTTTATTTCCTCCGTACACGACTAGTTTCCAGTTTTCTCATTTCACCCACAAAAGTCTCATTTCTTCCAACGTGGTAAGCCCTCTCCTCTCCAGTAGCTGGAGACACCTACTGGGCTGATCTACTTAATAAATTTTTCAAATGGCGTATGGCTCTTGTGTCTGCACGTTCGCAATCAGTTCTCAATCAGTGGTTGTGTATATCAACGGCGGATAGTGGAGATAGTATCCAAAAGGTCTCTTCCGTGGTCCCTTTGCGTCGTAATCGAGAGTAAGCAATGTCTCAACATGATTCCGCTGCACTTTGGGACCAAGCCAGGGAGTTGGAAGTTACTGTAATATAGCACTCTACTATACTATAACGTGGTCGGCGTGCTGTATGTAGTAGACCTTACCGTCTACTATGTGATAAACTCAGTATGTTGTAAGCTACCAAGGAACAAAGCTTGAATTGGCTGCATTGTTGTTTTGTATATAAATGCCTGCAAGTCTTCCTACTGTCAGCACACCTGGACTCTTACAAACACACCAGAATGCTCTTCCGAAGTACTCGCCTTTTTATTCTTTGCGGGCTGTGCTTCGGCTTAGGAAACAGTGTAACTCTACAGGCACCTGTATTCTTAAACACATGCAGCGACTGGGGGACAGTCTTGAATGAGAAGTATAAGATTGTAGCCCATTGCAGAACCAGGTCTGGTTTGTGGCTTTGGTCTCTCATCAACCTCAGCGCATGCCTAGTGAATATTAATGGCAAGTTGGTAGCCCAGGATGAGTTAGTTCTAGACTACCTATTTCTTTTTAACGAGATTACTTACTTCATTCAGCGGGCAATTTTTCAGCTCATGTGGGCCTTGCGAATATAGCAATGGAAGTTTGACTGAGGCGAAGTACAATTGCGGCTGTTCAATCAAGCCCGGCGAGAGCCGTAATATCTCCGCTACTATCGACCTGAGTAAGTTAAGGCATTTAGATCTTCTATTTTTCTGTAACATCTCTTACTTGTTGGAATTTTAGATGAAGTTTTAATTAACGAAGATGGGATCTTGTCATGTGGGAAAGAGGAACGCAAGGGCACGCTAATACCACAGGACGCAGTCTTTACGAAAGGAATAGATTATTTGGTTAACGACGGTTAAGCGTCGCAAAGAGGGATCCCTTCGATCAGCAGGGTCAGACGTTACGTTTACTTTATTACTTCGACCGACTGCATGCTAGAGCTATTTACGTGACAGTAATTAGGGCAGCTCCCGCCTAGCATATCCTAACTATATCTCCTATGAGTGTTACGATCCAATCAGTTGGCGTACTAGCCAGCATAGCTATACAGTGCAGAGCAGGGCATAATCACAAACGATTTTTCATTGCTGAAGCTTTTGCTCATGGTGCAGTTGGATGTCCTTGTCACGTGCGGAATTAGGGATGGCGCTATGAGGGATGTGGAGATGAAGGGGATAAAGGGGAAGGGAACTACTAGCCTACTAGTAGCCCAACCAGAGCTATAAAGAGGGCTCTCGATCCCATAAGGGATTGAGAGGCCAAGAGATGAATGCAGTCACCATTGAGACCCCTACATTCTGAACTCTTCACTCTGTGCCATGGAACCTCTGACAGTCCTGACCAGCGTGTGAAACTAGTACACAATAATCAGCGAAAAGGCCTTCTCCTAATCCACTACACCCATCTCTTTCCACACGGACCTATACGCTTTCTAAATGCTTACATAGTGCAAAATGTAATATTTCCTTGTTCTACGGATATACCTCAAAAGCACGATTAGGCCGGGTCTGTACACTCAAGGATGGTCTCCATCTCCAATAACAGAGGTTGGGCAATCCAGAACGGGCCCTTGAACCCATATCAGACCCTGGCGTTGATGGCATAAGCGCCATTCTTGGCTCCAAACCGTGTATGGAGCACCCCTGTCAACTAGAGGGTCTATCGAGTCAGTACCTCAGTGCTCTATCGGACTTTGTTGATGCCCACATGTCAAAGGTCCATGGAAAATGAGATGAATACTACGCGATGAAAGAACAGCAATCGACAAATACCACTGTATCAATTTTCACCTATTGAGTACGTATACGATCATTTCCCTCAAAGACTTTTGTTACTCCTTCCAGCGCCTGCAGTGTAAATAAAAGTTTCGTCGACAAGGAAGCGGGCGGAATGGCCCGTGCGGCTCAGTCGAAGGCAGGAGGACTTCATGGGTCCAACTTTGGCTGAGCATTTTCTCAGAGCAAGGTGCGGCAACGAAAGGAGGCTGGAGGAGGACATCTAGTTTTGGCTGTTGAGGCTTCACGTAAGAAGTTTTCCGTTCTTGTTGGCCGACATGAGTCTTGGCTGTGAGGGACGTTTTTTGGACCTGTCTACGCCAGAGCCAGAACATGCCCCCGCCCCCGTGTTGTTCATACTGTGGCCAGAAGGCCGAGGCCTATTTGCGCCACTTTTGACCCTTTTCTATCGATATCCCGGCACCGCCAACAGCAGCCAATTTTAACCTGACTGTGGCTACCATGAAAAGATTTGGCCATTTTGTGATGTTCTTTGTCGCGCTGCAAGTCTTCTCACTGACTACTCCATCACAGGTGTCAGTAGGCAGGGGAATAGGTCGTGGCCCGAAAATAAGAGCATCCGTCGAAGAAGGACGTCTACGATGAATCGGTATGGCCTCCACGAGTTTGCTTGTTAACCACCATTCTGTTTCCAATGCCCGACTTTCATGTTGCTCGTGGAACAAACCAGTTTGATTCAATGGATCCCACTCGTGCATCACTTGCAACCACATTTCCTCAAAAAGCACAACATGTTTTAGCTCATCATCAAAATGCAGACGCCTACCAGCGAGTCAGCCCACACCACATGCCGGCACAAACTTGTCTGCCATATCTGAGCTTTGGCCAGGAGCCGGTCTCTCCACAGCCGGCCGAGGCAGTCGACCAATCATCAGCGACTACCAACATCAAAGTAGATGAGAGCGTACGGAAAATGACGTATGCGGAGCTCATTCACATGGCATTTCTAAGTAGAAAAACGACGAAAATGGAACTCCGCGAACTCTATGAGTGGTTTGAACGGAACACTACGAAAGCCAATACGGATAACAAAGGCTGGAAGAACAGTGTCCGCTCGAACCTCAGTCTAAACCAGGTTTGCCAACGTCTCCCAACATAGCAACCTAACGTCGCTGTCCCGCTGACTTCTGTGAAACAGGCCTTCCAACGACTGGACGGGAAAGGCTCGTGTTGGCGACTCATCGAGACGGGCTTGGCGGGGGTTCAACCAACGCGCAAACCTCGAACGCCCCGAAGGAAAAAGGAGACGAACGTGTGTACGGCAGAGAGTAACAGCACGGCGCCACCCACGTCGAATCCTTCCAACCCGTGCGTCGTTCCGCAGGAGGACATTTCCGAGGTTCACAACGACCACCATAGCCCTCAGAGTAATGGCGACTTTACAATCCCAGGGGGGAGCCGAGTCGCAGACGACCCCTTTTCCAACTATCCGGTGCCGTATCCTATTGCTTCAACGCAAGATGATGCGGATGAGCATGATCCTTTTTGGCCTTGGAGCTTGGACAGCAAAAGCTACGTTCACTGGCCCTACTGCAGCTACGTCCCTGGCGATATTGGACAGGCGTAAGAGCTGGTTGTTTAGGCATAATAATGCATATGTAGTCAATCCACCTGGGATCTTGTTCAACTATGCGGATATCGTGGCTCATGCCATTCAGAATGGTTTTTGATCCTTTTAATGAGTTTGGCATCCGCCTCATCCGCTTCGTCCGTTTCGTCCGCCTTGTCCGCCTGCTCTGCTCCGTGAGCACTTGCCTGTGGCTAATTGTCTTCCTAGACTATACGTAATGCTACTTCCTTCAGCCTTTTTCTCTGTCTTAGAGTCTCTGCAATTTCTATGATATCTTGCTTCGGAATGTGTCGAATCGAATTGTCAATGCACACAATTTCCTTAGCTTGACAGACTTCCAAGAAATGGTAGATCCCAGGCGGATCGGACTGTAAGCTTTTTGAGACTTTGAACCCGATTCGGAAATTTCACAAGAAACTTCTCAATGGTCTTAACCTGATAATCGTCAAATCGAGGGTCTTTAGGCATATCGCTTGCTGCCGAATGGGCTTGGACCCTTAGGCATATACGTTGCAACGGACGGGGGTTACCAAAGTATTCCCTTGTAATTCCGGGGTCTTCTAGATTGTCTCATGTGCTGCACTGCGGTTCAATCTCAGGAGAGAGTAGGAGCGCGATAATCCGAGAACCGTCAAGCTGAGCTATCAGGGAGCGAGCATTGTCGAGCGCGAGCAAAATAGGCGACCCCTCCTGCTTTCCGACATAAGTGCTCTCCCCTACAATACTGATGCTAGTAATCCCTTGAGAGTCTACTGTGAGATTAAAGCCACTGAAGTTGCGTGGCGTTTCGCATATATTTTCGTCCTCCCCCACGTATCCAACCATTGCCTCAGATCCATCCCTAAATCACATATCTGAGATCCCAGCCTATCTGGCGGCCTAGATAAACATAAAGTCACATGCCAAGGTACTGTATTGATCAATACAGTACTGGATCGTTACTAGGGAGGAGTTGGTCTCGTAGTGCTCCTTTCAGCTGGATCCATGTTCACTGCTTTGACTATGAAGTCCAGTTGTGGCCAGACCGCGAAACCCTTCAGTGTCTCCGAATGCTACCTCCCGAAACGCGGTTCATTTCCTTCTCTCTGCAGTAATCATCGAGTTGTTCCTTCTTCAGCTTCAGAAACCTGTATTTCTCCTCGATGGTCGATTTGTCTAACAACCTCTCACCTATACCATCCTTATGCAACGCCTTCTAGTAGATCTTATCAACGTCGAAACTGCTACGCGATGCAGGGTTGAAGCAGAATCGCCCGCTTTCCCAGGACTCT